TTTTTTACTCAAATGGTAAAGAAATTCTGCCTTTGGTTTCCATGTGAAAGCTTTTGAGACAAAGTTTCCTGGAAACGAGAGATAGAAGGAAAGAGCAGCTCGAATGGGATTCCTTTGCAGGGTGTCAACACCACCAACAGGGCAAGTCACCACAGCTTTCAGGTCCTGAGTATGTCCTTCCTCTTCTTCCGCCCCCCACCTCTCACATCTACAGACACACAGCCCTCCCTTACCTAGACCCTTCACCGCAGCTCACTAGAGGCCCCTTAGACAGTGAGTTTCAAGTACCATTAATTCACTGTGCTGCCACTGAGTTTACATTAGCGGAACTCCCCTACAGTCTGAAATAACACACTTTCCACAACATCGACTTCATTTCCAAAGGAACAACATTAGTACTTCAAGAATATACGGGAGTATTAGGTTCCTTTCCTATAGGGAAACCATTCCAGTCCATGTTCCTTCCGGAACATAAACACAGATGACGTGTCTCCACCATTTTCACTAGTTCTTGAGCCTGATGCTAAGTGATTCCCAAACCAAATTCTACTCTGTAATAAGGTAATTCAAACCACACTTCCCCAGTAAGCTTACCTGAGGATCCATGTCATAGAACACGGCAAAAAGCCCTCGCTTGCTGGCACTAGGAGGAACATGACCAAAAAAGTCAGCCCCTTGAACTTTATTGTCCCAAAATCTGTAAGGAAATTGCAAGGCAATCTGGAAAGTGAGCAAGCGAAAGACGGTTAGTGTTTCTTAAATCAAAAGCACAGGCAATTTCTAAGCAGCAATCTACAGCTCTACTCTAGAATAAGCCAACTATTGAAGGAACTATCCAAAATACTCCCTTTCCACTCTCCTCACCTCTGCTGTCTGAGACCATCTTGCTTTTTATACCATCAGTCTCACACTCCCATGTATAAAAGCAGGATCCACTTAACGATCTATTGGCTAAGTGGAGATGGGAAGCAGGCCTGAGACTTGGTCTTGAAGCATTTGTCCGTAAGATAACATTCCTACTACTTCTAACATTGCTGGTATCTAGTGGAACATCAGGAGATTCTGCTAAAGGAGATGTCAAAGGCAGAGGAAGCAAAACTCTGTCCTTGTGGTAGCCAATGAATGGAGACACAGGAAGCAGAAAAAAAAAAAAGAATCGCTTATACCAAATTGTAATTTTAAATAGCAAGATTCACTCTCCTCAAGTCAAAACTCACAGGCCTCAGCCAGCTCTCCTTTTGTTCCGATATCTTTTTTATATTCTTCATGAACAGTTATTCAAATGAAAATGAAATCTTTGGGTTTTACTTGGATGCAAAAATTACCCACGACTTCCCAATATCAGAAGAAACTCCTATCATCTGACACCAATCTCTTCACTTCTGAAGCGAAAGTAATTCCGGTCACCTTTTCGATGATTCCTGCGCCTAAGCTGTTGATAGCCTTCATCTTCTTCTCCGACAGCGGTGGATTAAACTGAATGGCACCTTTCTGCAGTAAGGCCAGTGGTATCGTGACTAACACCTGTGGGGAATGAATCACAGTTAACACACAAACGGCAACCGAACCCAACACTTCTCAAGTCCTCCGTGGGTTTGTTTTCAGGAAAATCTCAACACCTAAATAACACTGTTCTCTGCTGTCAGTGATGAGATGGCAACAGCCAGCGTGACTATACGGGCAAGAACAGGGCGGCCATGAATACTTGTGCAGGCTGTCACTGCACAAGGGTGCCTGGTTGAGTGGAGGTCACATCCAAGTGGAGGAAGGGCTGGGCCATGCAAAAATTAGTATAAAGGTACTGAATGGCTAAACATAACCCTGTGTAAGATGAATCTGCAGATCCCAACCCCGAAAAGCAGTGCCAGAAGAGCAAACAGCCCTAAATATGGAGGAGGAAGTTTTGATTTGTGTATCATTCCTGATACTTTGTAATGTGTGGACAACCCCCGCCACCCATCCCTACCGAACAGCTATAACATAAAGGTCATACCTGCCCTACTAGTTTCAAAGGACAAGGGTAAATACTTAAAAATAAAACTCTTACAATATACATCAGTATGCTTCAGAAAGCACATTACAAACATTAGGGATTATTGTAACTGTGTGAAGCTACATGAAAATTTTACGAAGTTTAAAATATGGTCAGAATGCTCCTCAGAAGCAAGGATGGTGAGACTTTGTCTCACATACTTTGGACATGTTATCAAGAAGTGTGTAATCTGGTTATAGGTAACAGCTATC